TGTGTAGACATGTATAGGTGGGGGTTGTTCATTGTTCACTGCTAAGTGGCTGCATCCCATTGTTCTATTGTGTGTCTTGCTTGGGAGCAAACTATTATGGGATGTGTTTGTGTACTGGCTTGGTGGGGAGTGTTTCCAGCAGCCCTTCCCCCTGATGGGACTGCCTGCTGATGTGTTTTCTGTTACAGAGTATGTATTGCCCCGCCCTGTGTATATATCTTGTATCTATGTTAAAATAAAGCAGTCTGTCTTCTGGAATCCTTCAAGTCTGGTGCTGTCTCCTCTTGTATGGTCAGTGGTGGTGTCTGTAGATCTGTGTTCAGACAGGGATGCGGGAGTCTAACGGAAATAACCTAGTGCAGTCGGGGTCCGGTTCCGTTACAAAAACGCATAAAAAAAAAAAAAAAACACAACATGGATAGGTAAATGATGAATCCCACACCGGTTAAATTGCCTCCTCACCTCCGTGCCCAGACCCCAAGGGGCCAAAAGGCTTTCAGGACACAGCTGATCACATGACAGAGCCGACGTCTTTGGCTCTTTCTGTAAATCGGTGATCAGCTGTGTCCGAGGGACACAGCGCACCACCGATTGCCGCACTGCGCGCCCGCGGAGCCGGGCACACGCGGTTAGTGTGGGAGGATGTCATATGACGTCCTCCTAGAACGAGAGAACCGGCGTGCGCCCGTCATCTCCTTATATGGTGGGCGGGAGGCGGTTAAAGTGCACTTTATAAGGAGTTTTGAACAGATAAAATACTTTTTTTTTACTTTTTTCTGACCTCTGGAACGGATTAATTGGTTTTCAATGCACTCCTATGGGAAACAGAATTTTTCACAGAACGAAAAGTCCCACAGAGTGAATTAAATTCGTAAACCCTTTTGTGTTAAGTCCTGTAGCAGAGCAGTCAATGCAAGAAGAGAAGTGAGAATTGTACATTTGCATTTCATTTTTTCACACCTTAAAAAATGTATGTATTGGAATAGGAAGCCAAAATGTGTGCTGCCATTCCTTCTTTTTTTTTTTTTTTTTTTTTTTTTTTATGAAAATTAAGTCACCTGTGGTTTTAGAAGTCATCTAGTTTTGCTTTCTTGTAACATTCAAGGAGTGCTTGAATAGGATATCATTGTTGATACGGGTACATAGCATACAGATGATTTCCTGTTTTCATTTACTTGAGTAATCATCTAGTAAAAGAAAACTAGTCTCTCACAAGCAGTTTTTGTCTGTAATTTAATTATTCTTTTGAAAATGGTGTACTAAACATTTAAGGAGCAACTTTATGTAATGTGCTCAATTAATAAACTTGATAGAGTTTAAGAAACAATGCATCTCTGTCAATTGACCTTTATTTGGTAAAAGAGAAAACCTAAATAGATTAAGATCCAGCTGTCTCCTAAAATGGTTTTAATTCAGGTTTAGCCTTTGTCTTTTTTCAAGGCAGCATATTCTAGGAGTACAACAAGTTCCTCAACAAGTAGAATTCTTTAGTTGCCTTTTGTATTGTTAGCCACAGAGCTACAAGCACACTGACTGGAATTGCAAGATGGAACTTCTGTTTCAGTAATAACCAAAAGGCAATCTTTTTAAACCTACTCATCTGTCACCCTGAAAAATGTCTGTTTGAAAACCCATTATAATTTCCTCCACTGCTTGCCATTAAACTAGTATTTACTTTGTACCAGTAAATAAAGTCTGCATTTGTTGTCCTCATAAAAAAACGCTCAAGCTTTACAACAGACACAATTAGGTACCTGCCACTCAGGTATGGACACTTCTTCTACTACCCCACTATTACCCCTACTACCCCTGAAGGCTTTAAGCTGGGGGACATACTTAACTAAATGAATATGCCAACTTCATGATTGATGTATTTGCATATAACAACAAGGTATTTGCCTTGGGTGGCATTTTTCAGGGGGGCAGCACCCCCCCACCCCCGGCAGAAGTGACACAGTGGCAGCCAGTGACTGTGGAGGAAGAGGAACAGCAGGAGCTGGGATCCACAAAAGGCAGATGGGTGATGTCAGTCTCACCTTCCCGGTCCTCATCATGGCTTCGTCGGTGCCCGGCGAATGTCATTCTGCGAGCTGTGTCGGTGATTGCTGGAATGGAGGAGGATGGTGTAGAACAGATGAGTCATCCTTGAAGGGGTTAGGGTTGCTAGAGAGTGTCGATCATTGTTGGGGGGGGGGGGGGGGGGATTTTTTTTGTGTTACCTAGGGCAGCAAAAAACAAAATACACCACTGCCTACAGCAGCTAATTAGGGGGGTGGGGAGAGCATGAGTAGGTTGATTGCCAACCACACACTTGAGGGATAGTTTTATGGAGCGCATAGTGAGAATTTTCTCTTTTAACAGTCATGAGGAAAATAATTTTCGGTCCATGTAGAAGTTCCTTAAAGCACAGTAGGAGCTTCAAACTATTGAAAAATCTTTTGTGTAGGTGTTTATTTCTTTCATTTTTTTTTAGCGGGGACAGAAATTTCAACAAGTGCATGCTGCAGGCATATTCAGATAAAGATGGGGAAATGTTTCTCAGATGCGAGAGGAGTAGCTTTCTATAGTCAACTTTTTGGATTTCAAAGTTACAGGAACAGCCGGGTAGAAAATGGAGGTTGTATTTTGCTGTTGACAAATAGAATCATTTTTTACTTTATTATGTATGGTAAATATTTATTAAATGCTTTAATGGGAAACCTACCACTTATTTTTAAAGTCAAGCAGCAAAGCTATATATTTACATAATCCCTATAACGTGTGCATATTCAAGTTTACAGAGTCTTAACATAAACTGTAGATATGTGAATTTCTCATGGTCAGTTTTAATTGTGATGCATGATGTAAAAATTGTAGGTAAATACTTTCAAACTTATTTTTTTAGTCTGGGAGATGGCTGTAAAACTGAATACTAGGTGGTACATGACCCCCACCAAAATCCATGCCTTCAATCCAACTATCTCTGCTCATTGTTTTTGGGGTTGCCCAGACTTAGGCACTTTTGACTATAGCTTTTTAACTTGCAAAAAAATTATGCCACCACTCTCTTACCTTACCAGTGTGCTTCTTTTTTCCCCCATTCTGGATTCTTGGGGCCCAGGTTATGACTAGGAAGGAGACAAACAAGCTCATGTAGCGTATTTATCACATTTATTTATCACACTATGCATGACTCCATGGTATTTTTTCAATAGCACCATTTATTATTTACTATCAAATGAAGTATCCCACTGCAATACCCTTTCAGGTGCTTAGTATTTCTAGAATACACTTTCTCTTATCAGACCTGGTTAGTGTTTTAGTTTCTAGACAACTGGTAATACCTGCCACCTCATTTTGAAACTTGGTCACTTTCAGGCTCTTTTTGTGACAGTTCTGTTTTATAGGATATTTTGTGTTTTCATTATATTACTATTGTATTCAGGGGTGTGGAAATTTTTTAAAAAACTTTGTCCAGGGACTAAATCAGTGTCCCAATCTACTTGTCTCTTGTGACAATCTACTTGTCCAGATAAAAAAAAAAAAAATTTAACCAAAGCTGTATTAAAACGGAAGTGATATTAGAAATGTCTGGGGCTTTTAAAAACAAAAGGGGCTTTATGACTTAAACATTTAATATTTTTAACATTGTGCTGTTTATCTCCTCCTCCCCTTCCTACCTGTCTCCAGCACCGCACCCGGGGACTAGCAGGGAGGGGAGAGACCTTGTAGTGTAATAAGCACCGATTGGCTGCTTCTCAGGAAAGGGTGGGTCAGGCTTATCCTTTATCCCTTTTGCTGCCAGAGCCATTTTAGGCCTGAAGATTACATAAAACCCTCTAACATTATATATTTTCTTAAAACAGACCCTAGAGAATAAAATAGTGATAGTTCCAATTTTTTATGTTGCATGATATTACCGCAAAATTTCAGAAAAATATACAAGTTTTATTTTAGGACGCAGAAAAGCAATAAAGTACCCTATTTTTTGTACAATATAAAAAAAGAGGTTGCACCAAGTAAATAGATATCCAACTTATCAAACCTTAAATTTTGTGAGTGCTCATGAAATGACAACGAACTTCGGTACCCTATATTTTCTATAGGTTGACACTTTTAACTGGTGCTAGAATTATTACTCTCATTCTGGCATGTACGGCGTGTGTGTATCACAAATCGACGTTTTCATGCATAGGCGCCCCAGCGTATGCTTTTACGTTTGTGTGTGCGTGTATGTGGGTGTGGGGGTCTCAATTTTTCTTTGGGGGGGGGGGGGGATGGTATGTGCTTGGTGTAACTTTCATGTTTTACAATAAAAAAAAAAACACTTTTTTTTTTCAACACGTGATGATTTTTTGGTGACAGGTTATCTTTATTGAGGCATTGAGACTCTGCATGTCTCCATTGTACTACACTGAATGTAATGCAGTGCACATCACATCACATTACATTCTTTCCCAGCTTCCATGGCCAGGAATCTCTTTAACGGGGACCCCAAAGTGACATCATAACGTCACTTCCGAAACAGGACAAGAAGGGGAGGAGAGCGGATGCGTCCGCTCTCCTTCCTCCCCTCTAGCCGACAGTGGTGAGCCGGTTCTGGGTCCGCTGATGATCAAGCGGAGGGGCTGGGGGGGGGGAGGCTGGCACTGTTTGGAAGCAATCGGGCAACAGCGCTGCCGCCCGAATGCTTCCACCTGACAGGTGAGCCTGCTGCTTGCCGCAGTAGGGCTACAGGTAGAAAACAAACTAACTGCCCAGCACCAGGAACTACATGTCCCAGGCATTGGGCGATAGGAATCAAACATCCCTGTGTATTGCATTTGAATTTGATGTGTGTACTCTCTTATTTGGCCTTTGTACTCCTTTGTTTAGTGTGCTCCGATTCTCAATCACCCTGTGTGATGATTCAAACAACAGTTTGTGCTGTGTGACTATATATGCTGTAAGTTTCTCAATGTTATCTAATAAAATTATTTGAAAACACAAACTTATTTTTTTAATTTTTTTTTTTCTTTACAGAATTGACAGTAGAACCTGGGGACCCACCATTGTTACAACAACCTGTACAGACTTCCAAATCTGGCATACAGCAAATTATTGAATGTTTTAGATCAGGTATGTAACTTTAACCTAACGTGTGTTACTGCTGGAAACAGGTGTTCTTTTTGCTAATAGTTTGTTCATTTAGTCAAAATAAAAAAATACTTCCAGGGGTGTGGACATTTTTAAAAAAATACTTGTCCAGGGACTAAATCGGGGCCCCAATCTACTTGTCCCTCATGACAATCTACTTGTCCTGATAAAAAAAATTTTTTTCAACCAAAACCGTATTTAAATCTGAGGTGATTTTAGGAATATCTGGGGCTCTTAAAAACAAAAGGGGCTTTATTGCGACCTCCCCCCGCCAGTCTCCAGCACCGCACCCGGGGACTTGCAAGGAGGAGAGAGACCTTGCAGTGTAATGAGCACCGATTGGCTGCTCGTCAGGTAAGGGGGAGGAGGAGGGTTAGGGCTTATACTTTATCCCTTTCACTGCCAGAGCCATTTTTGCGGTTTTTCTACACATTTAAAAAAATCATTTTAGGCCGGAAGATTACATAAAATCCCCAAACATTATATATTTTCTGGAAGCAGAGACTGTAGAGAATAAAACTGTAGTAGTTCCAATTTTTTATGTTACTTGTATTTTTTACTAAAATTTTGCGGTAAAATCATGCAAGTTACTTTTAGGGCACAAAAAAAAAGCAATAAATGACCCTATTTTTTTGCAAAATATAAAAGATGAAGTTGCAGTGAGTAAATAGATATCCAACTTGTCAAACCTTAAATTTGTGCGTGTGAAATGGCGATGAACTTCAGTACCCTATATTTTCTGTAGGTTGACACTTTTAAAGTTTATTATAGGTCATGAGTATAGTATATGGAGGAGGTCTGGAGCTAGAATTATCGCTCTCATCCTGGCGTGCTTGGCGATATGTGACATGAGTATCACAATCAACGGTTCCATGCGTAGGCGCCCCAGCGTGTGCTTTTACGTTTGTATGTGGGGGTCTCAATTTTTTTGGGGGGGGGATGGTATGTGCCTGGGTGTAACTTTTTCACTTTTTACAATAGAAAAAAACCACTTTTATTTTTTTTCATCGTGATGATTTTTGGTGACAGATTCCCTTTGAGACATCCTGCATGTCTCCCCCCACCGGAAGTGACGTTTAAGCCATTTATAAAGGTCTTCAACAGTATGGATGACATCGGTACAACACTACTCCTCCTCTAGCTCACCCACCTCTGTTGGTACACACTGTACATTCTACTTTACCTGCTCAGCATTCACTTTAGCACCACTGCCTTTACTTATCATTGGAATTTATCCTTATGGTCTTTTTTTTTTTTTTGTGGGTCTTTCTATAGTTTGCCATACCATCTCTACATGTCTGCCATTGGGACTAAGGACTGAATTGCATGGTTTATGCATGACCATTGACTTTCCTCTCTCAGCCATATTAGTGCACAGATTTGGCTGTGCTATACACATACCCTGTTTGGGTGGCTATTACATGCTGGACATGAGAGTTGTATATTATGTCAATCATGTTGGCCAGAGCATTCATGTGGGAGAATTTAGGATCATTTATCATTCATATCCGGATCAACCTCCATACACTCTCCTCTGTGGATTGACTGAGATTGCTATCAGAGCTACTTATTTTGATCCTGCCAATCATTTTGCATACTAGTTACATCCATCTCCACTATATTCTAGCCATCCTTAGTCTTTTTTCAACACCACATGACCCCAGTGGTCCTGCGTCATCACTTGCTGAGTGAGTGTGTGCTGTGTGTGTAAGTGCGTTTTAATGTGAAAGGTGGAGGGTGATATAGCTTTCTGTACTGTATCATTACTATACCAATAAATATTATGTTTTAAGCCGCAGTGTGTTCTCCTGAGGACTTCTTTTCCAGTGGGGCCTTACTCACTGGTTCATTTTTCTGCCACAGTATTCATACACCGCGGGGTATGAGCTTGTACCTTCAGATGACTGGACACTGGCAAAGCTTTAGAGGACATGCGCCCCCGGGCACCTCTCCTATAACCCTACCCCACTCAGTCTCATTACTTACACTCCGTCCTCAGCCTTGTGCTAGTGTTTGAAGGTGATGGACCTTTTCTCTTTCATGGAGAAAATCACCCTTAGCTTCAATAGTTTATTATTTTTTTCTTTTATGTTCAGATTTCTTCAATCAATCCTCACTGCCTTCTAATGCTAACATAGAAACAGTGTATCTGGATCATAAAACCTTGGGAACTGTACCTGGACCCCATGCTGTGGGAACAGTCTGTAATGCTGCTTTTGTCACTGGATCCGTGCATGGGCTGATCTTGGCACTTGATGTAGTGTGTTAAGTTAGCTGCAGGGTGCTATACAGATCCAGGGACATGGTCCATTGCTTTGCAAACCAGTCCCTGAAGATCCCTTCAAGGGTATGCCTACTATGACAAGCGAAGCTTGGACTTTATAAACAGTCCAGAGACATGAATAGATAGGACAGGGTCATCCTGTACCTCTGACCATTACTGTGAAAATGGCGTTATTTTTGGAATGTATTCACCTTGCATTGTAAATGTTTCAGGTTTAGCTTTAAAACTCAGCCACTCAGAGCTTAGTTTTAGGTGAATAACCAGGTGTTAACATCACACTACTGGTCACACACTTTACTGCTATTTCGGCCTAGTGCCCTTCAGGGTGGATTTGATTTAAATCAAACTGATTTAAATCACGATTTAAATCGCTAGTCAGTAAGGCTTGATTTAAATCATAGTTTTCTACATAGACTAATTCTTGCTGGTATAACTTTAATATGCAAGTAGTTGAAGATTTTTAGAATAACAACTTTCCATATTAGTTTTTTTATCCCCAGTTTAATAGGTTAATCATTCATATTTGGACAACTTTTCTGTTGTACTTAGGAGAAAAATAATCATTACCTTAATAATAATTTAAATAGATTTATTCCACTGAAACAATAACATTCCAGCATATGTTATTTGCTTAAACAAACATCCATGTTTGTTAACTAATTTGGTTAAACAAAATATATATATTTTTTAAAACTTAGACTGTCAGCCCCCTTCCTCCTCACACTTAGTTTCACTTTATTCTTGTGCAGATCTATTCCACTCCAAACAATCAGAAAAAATATTGTTTCTATTCTATTCACTGAACTTCTTGAAACTTAGCTTAAAGGGGTTGAATCTGTTCATTCATTTGTTTGTAAAAGTTAGGATTAAGGTCTTTTTCTTAACTCTGTTCATGTTATAACATTTTTGCTGTGAAGAAGAGGCATGTGATCTCCGCTGAGTCAAATTCAGTTTTGAGAACTGCAAAAGTAAACCAAGCATCTGTGATAATATCTTGTAGGCAGAGAAACTGTCCAATAATCTTACAAAAACCTCTGGAAGAGCATCACATTGTGAATGGATTAATGGAATTTATTTACCAAAACAATTAAACATATACAGCCTTATTCTACATAATTAAAAACTAATCTTTATTTCATGATGGAATAACCTTTGGATGGTAATATATTTTCCTCAAAAAGCATTTTATTTAAAAAAATCCGATTTAAATAAAACAAAATCTGATTTTTTTTTTTTTTTAAAAAAATCATTGATTTTTATCTACCCTGGTGACCTTACAGGGTACTCAGGCGCTTCCTCCTTACCTTTCACCACAAAGATTCATTACAGGGTGGTCTACAACTGGGTTACCGCATACTCCTGGCACTCATCCTATACTCTGCACCGTATTCCGTGAGTACCCCACAGTGGAATACTCTCACTTGTAGCTATGGTTGATTGGGGAGACCAGCCCTGAGAAGTTCCTGACAAACTTTCTATAAAAGTTTGCGAATCCAATGAAACGCTGTACCCCCCTCTTATCGGTGGGTGTTGGCCAATCTAAGATCGCCGTGACTTTCTGGGGATCCATCGCGACCCCCCGCGGGAGAGAGGACCAGTCCCAAGAACGTGATTTTACACTGTTCAAAACAGCCCGTGTTGACGTAAACGTGCTAAGACCCTTGCCACATGCTCCCTATGAGCCTCCAGTGAGGGTGAAAATATCAGGATGCCATCTAGGTAAACAACCACGAAGACATAGAGGAAATCACGAAAGACATCATTGATAGTGTGTTGGAAGGTGGCCGGTGCATTACAGAGCCCGAACGGCATCACCAAATATTCGAAATGACCGAATCTCGTACGAAAAGCTGTCTTCCATTCATCCCCCTCCCTGATGCGAACAAGGTTATATGCCCCCCGCAGGTCTAATTTAGTAAAAATTGCTGCTGACCCTAACCTCTGGAGGAGCTCGGGGACTAGGGGTAACGGATAGCGATTCTTTACTGTGATCTTATTCAGGTCACGGTAGTCAATACAGGACCGTAATGATTTGTCTTTTTTTTCCACAAAAAACAACCCAGCCCCGGCCGGGAACGTGGACGGGCGAATAAATCCCTTCCACAGATTGTCATCGATATACTCCCTCAAAACTCCTGATTCTAGTTCAGATAAGGGAAAAATTCGACCAAACGAAATCTCAGATCCAGGTAGGAGGTCTATGGGGCAATCGTATGAACGGTGCGGGGGAAGAATGTCTGCTCCTCGCTTACTGAACACGTCTAGGAAATCGTGGTAGGCCGGAGGGATAACCTGAGAAAGATCCGTATCACCATCCATGCACAGGAGAAACAGGGGAGACACGGGCCCTGAGACGTGGCAGTGATCCCGGCAGTATGGTGACCGAAATTGAACCGTTCCCTTCTCCCAATCAACCTGGGGGTTATGGGCCCGCAGCCAAGGAAGCCCCAGAATGATTGGGAAAAGGGGGGATGCGATGGCATCCAGACGGAGGAACTCCTGATGATGGTCAGCCATCGTGGTAAAAATAGGGGGAGTCTCCTGATCCACCACCCCTAATTTTATGCTAGACCCGTCTGCCAGGAAGATGTTAAACCCCCTTTCTTTGGTCTGGAGGGGAATCTTTTGCCGGTGAGCAAAAGTAAGGTCAATGAAACAACTACATGCTCCCGAATCAATGATTGCAGTCACCGACAGG